TCCGTAAGTCGATGACTGCCTGCACTACAACATAATTATTTTTTTCGTGGATTTAGGTACGTGCCTTCTCAGAATAACACTTTTTTCTCATGAAACCAATTTTAAACAGTCATCCAGGGAACTGTGAGCATTACCTCCGATGAGTATGGTTGGCATGGTCACGTGCATCCCACATACGCAACCCACAGACAAGCACACAAAGATCTCTCATTGGTCCTTATGAACTGTTGACAGAGGTCCTATTGCCACAATGCACAGAGAGATTATAATGGTTAGCACTATGCCTAGCTACATTTGTCTTCGCAGTGTTGATATGATTAACCATGTTAATAGTCTGAGTAGGTGACATCTTACTTCCAGTTAAATTTTTAGCTACTTTATACATTTCATGAAAAAAATAACAGCTTCTTATTATCTGCAAATGCTTGTAAAATCCCAAGCACGACAACTCGGTATAACATTGTAATTGCACTATGTAATAAATATATTTATTTTTAATCACAGCATTCATTTGCATGCAGTGTTGAATTCTGTTAAATTTTTATGGGTGTTGGGGGTGGGGAAACACTCGAACGAACAACTGAAATAACAGCGATAGCATTCACTTGTTTTCTTAACTGAGAAAAACACACGTGTACTGTGCATGCTCCGACACGTTATCACGCAATATGCACGGGCTGCTTTTGTGACGGCGCCAAGCTGTGGCATGCCGCGTTGAATCGAACGTCCGCTGTTACGTTAATATCTCATTTACGATGCGGTGGCAGAACACACGGCCATGCACACATTGAGCACGTGGTTACGAGCGAAGCCCTCGAAAACGCGAGGTGTGTAAGTTTTTCTGCTGATTTTGAACATCGCGTTACTGTACCGAACACGGCTCGTGAATTATTTCCATTATTTCGTGCATCGGCCGCCCATTGCTCACTTTCAAGATGATGCCTGTTCACGGGACGTCTCCAGTAACTAGACACCGAATTCTCAGCACCAGCCTCACACCTACTGATGAGATTCTTATCCTCGAGAAGGAAAGCTTGCCAAGATTGAGTAAACCTAGGAGAGACCCCATGCTTCGTACTACTTGTAGATATGAAACCACAAGTATCTCAGATATTGTTGCCCTGGCGCAGTACCAAGTACCCATCACAGATGATACTGGCAAAAAAAAAGGATCCCATAGATACCCACCACAGGCTAACCACACCTGGACATTTCTTTCTTCCGCTTGACCAAGTTGACACCCGGTGTTGGTTTCTCTTCTTGCGGTCTCATCGTCAACACCACCGCACCGAGCCCCTCGGTGCCACTCCACCGTCTGTGGGCGGTTAACTTGACCTCCTTAATTCTGCACACATCTGTCCAATCCCTCACAAACTCATTCCCCCCCCCCCCCCCAATTACATCATCATCATCACGAGCCATAGGCAGATCGCCTGTAGGTGTCCGCTGCACATTTCGTCATCTGATGACAGCGACAAAATGTTATATTCTGAACTTCGAAGTTATTTTACGCTATCTTTACATTCAACTCAACCACCCTCCTTTTGCAAGCTCAAATGTCAGAAGCTAATTTTAGAATAGCTTTGTTAAAGTCCAGCCCTTTCACCAGTAAAGTACATGGTAAAGGTGCGGCCCTGCCATTGCTTGCTCATGCCAATTCTGGCAGAAGCATCTCCACCTAAGGGAGCTGTCGAGATCCCTACAAGAGGGTAACAGGCCTACTATTCCATGCTGGGCAGACATCCAGGAAGAAGTGGGAGTATCCGAAATTAGCACATCACCACGCGTGATCTGGTGTGCCAATTTATACTGCTGGGTGGATAGACACAGAGGGATTTAGGAACTTTTCTTCAACTGCCGCGCCCCAAGAGATCGAACTTGGCAAGCTCTTGGTTGCAATTACCAGTGTGCTAACCATTACATCACGGTCGCATCCCAAACAGCAATGCCTCGTAAACAACCAACGACATCCATACATGGTCACCGGGTTGGATTCATTCCCAGCCACAAATGCTAACTCAGACGAGCATTTAGGCTTTGCAGGCTAGAGCCGGTGCACACAGCTGCAAACCATAATTATCGCCACGTTCATGTGAGACAACAGTCAGCACTCTTGGTTCGCTAATGGAAAATTATGACCATTATAGTTTTAACCCGTGCATATTAATGAGGCAAAGGCTGGGATGGGTGAACACCTCCCATCGGGATGCAGCCAGTAACCATGAACACAAAGATTACCCGTATAGCCTTAACAGACTTTTGGAGCAAGTGCTGTTAGTGAGTACCTATGAGGGCCGGCATGGGGCACAAATAGGTGGGTGGCCAGCATCACACCTGGCCGCCTTTTTCTCCCTCGTGGCGATGTTTACACATCGCACCAGGTACTCCTTTGAGGCTGAGTCGACCTAGGGGAGGCCCAGGACTGCTTCAAATATTCGCCAACAACCACTGCACCCACCGCCGTGAACACAGCGCAATAATTCACACGCGAGCATTTGCACTGCATAAGGCAACTGGGGTTGCAGTGGTGGCGCGGTGGTTAGCACACTCCACTATGAACTCGGTCGCTTGAGTTTGATTCCTGGCCAAGCCTAAGAGTGATTTTTAATCACTTCTGGGCACCCCCCTCCCCCATCGTCTACTTCACCAACCCACGCTGTAAAGCATGGTCAAACAACACCCATGACCGACACGGTGTGAGCATGCCTTCATCTAGCAGTGGATTGACAAAAGGCTATGAATTATTATATAAGGCAACTGAACTAAAAAAACTAAGCTATGTAGTGGGTGGGGTAACAATTGTAAATGTATTCATTTGGGATGGCTTAAGATAGTGGTTCTTAACATTTACCGCAGCCTTGCACCACTTTGGTTCTCAATCGTAAAAATAACATGAAATGTTAATAAACAAGTAGCTTTGATGAAACAAAGTAGTTGTACTGACGTGCCCGTGCTCAATTTGTGTTTCAATTATTTACCTTCTAAGGAAATCTGGCCACGTCTCGCATGCCTAGAAAGGGCATCTCGCATCCCCAGGGGGTGCGTGCACCCCCTGGTTAAGAACCATTGACTTAAGACATGGTACATCCTTTAATTAATAACTTTCCATAGGTGCCATCAACGCATACGTTTCAGCTTCTGCAGAAAGTGATACTGAAGGGCATTTAAATGATGCCACCCAACAGCAACATCAAGAGGCAGAAGAGCAACACTTCACATGTGCAAGCCGAGCAAAAAAGCGGATATAATGCAGTAAGCTTCCACAGTGTGGCCACAGCCGATGCATTCCTCCCCATCTGTTATAACAATAATTCCCCTTTATATGTCCACAAAAGCCTCCTTGAACCTCGATACCGTTTTAGGGGCGTCCTGCATTGCGATGGTTGACGTGCTTTATTTATGGGTGTTTGTTGTGTGCGAAAAAAATATGGGAGGGGATGTAACCTCGAAGCTCCACACGAATGGACTTAAACGTCCTCTTTAAACCCGAGGCTGTTTTATGATCTCTGGTCCGGTGATCCATCTCCACCCGTAACAGGCTTACCATCTGTCGATTATATGTATTTTAGACAGTACTTCTTTCAGATGGGTCTCCGCAAGCATTTATTTTGCTTCATTCTTTTTTACTCTTTAAATAGCGTGCGTCATTTGATACCGTTTTCTCAAGCACCTGTTAGCCAGATAATATATGACTCTGAAGTGCAATGCTTTCGTGCTTGACCTTTCGTCCCCGTTTTTCTTAAATTCAGAGGTTGCAAACCCTACCCACTCTCTCTTAGATGCACTCCAAGTGCACCTAGCCTGGCATGTACACTGCGGTGTGACATTGGCCACACCACTCGGTGCGAAATGCTGGAGACGAAGTGAGCAGTGCAGTGGCATCTGTCTGGCTCAAATATTTGGTGGGCACGTGGGGGAAGAGGGGCAGTGGAGTGACGGGGGGGGGGGGCGGTGGGGGGCTGTGAGGGGAAGGGGAGCCGTGGGGGGAAAGAATGGCGGTGGGGGGAAGGGGGGGGTGCAGAAATGGTTGCCAAAACGTCTAGTTAGGAGGTGGTTATGTGGGTTACATGGGGTATATATTTAACAAGGTGGCCAGAGATGGCATGACATTAGACACTCTTACATCAGTGCATTACCAATGGACATGCCGTGCGAAGTAATCGTATGGAGAGCAGAACATTCATCTGTATTGCATTGCCATGTGTTGTGAAAGTGCATTGATTACGATGCTACCTTTCTATTAGAATCAAACGACACGCAGGGAATCCGTGTAAACATTGAACATCGGGACCTTTCTAATGGTTGCCCTCATTCGTGTGCAATGTTATTTGTGCCCAAAACTATATATAACATGTAATTAGGTGTAGGACATTTCCAATCTCTGCACGTTCATTGCAGAAACGGCATTTAGCAGACATGGGGCAATTGCTTGGTACGATGGTTTAATGGAGGAGACTAAAATTAACCACATTTACATGACTTTGCCGATTTCAGACACAAAGGATTGGCTACGCTCAGTTTAAGTGTTGCGCACGATCCACTACATGCATGTTTCACTCACTACCGACACCAGCTCGTGCCCATGCAGAAGAGAGCACGCGCATAGCACTCATTCACACCCAACAAACATAGCAATGAACCCTACACGCCAATGAAAGTTGCCACATCGCGATGAATTTCAGAGGCTCAGCATGCTTGATTGATCCTAAATAGTGCTTAGATGGGCAGTCAGCATGAAAGACAGGTATTATGGGCTGTAGAGCTACGTGGGAGGGCAGTGGAGCAACAGCAATTGTTGTACTGTACTTATATGCTCTCACAGCTATGCTCGCCACGTACACGAACCGCCCCCCTCCCCCCGGCACTGACCAGCGTGGTGAAGTGTGGTCAAACAAACCCCCAACCACCCGTATGCCATGGGGAAAGCCCTCATCCAGCAGTGGATTAATAACCACTCAACGTGTGCGTGTGCCAGCCACTGACGTTCATTGCGCACTTACCCGGCGTGTAAAAGCCAACGTCCCCGAACCTGCACCTGCACAAGTGCATCACCACCGCCATCCGCGGCAATATTCCTCAGGTATTCTTCCTTTACCATAGCTAAACTCAGTTATTTTTGAAGTTGTTGCTGTTGATTATTCTTACTTTGCTTGGACGATTATCAGAATCGCTGTGCCCAACGCACGAGCTGCAAGTGCAAAACGATGGATGTGACTGGAAAATGAGATGGGGATGTTGTGGAAGTGCCCGGGCAATTTGGGGGGGGGGGGGGTGCGCAGGGTATGCAGTGGGAATTTTTAAATAAAGCCGAGCATCCTTCTTAACAAGCATCCGCTGACTGGCAAACTGGGAGATTAGCAATGCCTCAGTAAGCACGCCACTGCCCTGACCTCCACTGCACTGCGTCACGAGCAAAACGGCATCACACTTGCAGTGGGAAATCAGAGCAGTGACTCAAACTGAAATGCAGGGAAACTGCGTGGAAGTGATCGACTCAAAATGGTAGGGAGAGAGAAAAAAAGTAGCACCGAATAATGCTGAACGTTCTTTGCACGGAAGCAAACACAAGTGCACTGGCGATGCAAGATTACACCAAACTGCATGGCCCTTAATTTCCCCAAACACCATCATATGAAGCCCATGGCTAAATCACCCAGAATATGCCCAACTTCATGAAATCTCATAAGCTAGGCAGGCAGGAGCCTGGACAGTGCTTAGATGGGCAACCACCGTGCAGTGTTATAGGCTACAGGGCTAAAGTTGTAGGCAGCAGGTGGGAGAGAAGCACAACGCATTGTTGGGCTGTATTTCTATGCTTCCATATCTATGCTTCCCTCCTTCACCAACCTGCACTGACCAGCGTGATGGAACAAGGTCAAACAACCCCCACAACCACACGGCGTGAACAGGCCCCAATCCAGATTGACAAAGAGGCTGGGCGTGTTCATATGTGCCTATAACACAAATGTTCAAACATAGATGCTCAATATTGATTGAGTGGTTCACGGGTCAGAACGCTTGAGCCAGCATTGCTGAGATCCTGGGTTCGTATCCAGGCACGCTACATATAATTAAACCAGGTTTTTATTTATTAATTTAGTTGACGGTCTGAGTCCAGTCATCAATCACTGCATAAAAAAACACCCGTAACATTAAACTTCGTTTTTCAGTTAATTTTAAAACAATACAGCTGAGAATGTGAATGTTGGATTGATTGGCATTCGAAGAGCAATAATGGCAATAACACAAAAAGTGTTCCCCAAGTGTGGCTAAAGATCCAATTTAATTGACTTCAAAGAAGGGTTTCTTCCAAAAGCCAGTTTCTGACACAGGGTGATCCACTGCTAACTGGGAGAGCTGCAAATGTAAATTCAGTCTCGTGACCGCACCACTGGAATGTAATTGAGAAAAGAATATTGCGACAACAGTAGCATTATTTACGCTACTTGAAGAGATTATCGCATGTCTAAGAGGATACCTGTTAATAACAAGCACCTGGGGTACCATCGTAGATCCCACAGCTCACAGAGGTAGACACTTCCTATGGCGACTACAGAAATAGCGATGACTCACTGTTTCTTCTTGCTGTGGAAGGAGAGCAAAAACATGTCACCGAAGGCAAAATGGCACTGAGATATTACATTTTTCAGCTGTGCATGCAAATATTTCTCTCGCGTATATATGTGCATATTTTTGTTTAAAAAAAAAGAAAAATCACTCTATACCCATAATAATATAATTGTCTTTGAGCAGTATGCGGTATGGTGATATAATAACTGCACGCCAGGCATCAATCCTCAGTTTTCATGTGTTTTTTTTATAATTTGATGAAATATGAACTATGTAATGTTTATACCCTTTCTTACCCAGAGCGACTCCACGGGTGTCCTCCAAATTAATTAGCACATTGTCGTCTGCAGTAATTACTGATAGAAATCCAGCGGATCTCTGTGAGCTTCCTCCACCTCCCTTTATCCTTGTCCGAGTGTAATCTCTTTGCTAATCTACATGGATCCATTGCAATTAGAGAGCATGGTCACACGATGCTTGCTGTTTAAATTAAAAGGAACATTGTTAAGGGGATGGTTTTGTAAACGCCAGTCTTTATTAGGAAGTCGATCATTCGCTCAGATCAACAATTGCTGACTTCTAATCAAACACAGACTCTGTAAAACCGTGTAATACAAATGGATCATATTTGTTTCAAGGAAGGATCTTAATCTTCAGTTTTCTCCCCAAAGGCAGGTCCATGGCTCAAAGCTCTCTCATCCTATCCTCTAATCCTATGAACCCCTCTCCACAACACACACGACGAGGTTCCTGAAATCACGTATATAGGTTCAACTTCTTTCACGCCGTACGTAACCAACCGCGCCAATCGGAGATGCCGGGAGTGTTTTAGAGACCACCATCACTGGATGGAGTGTTTCGCATCCAGGATAAAAAAAATAAGTGGTTACTTTTATTAATTTAATTGTAACAACAAAATATTGTTTGTTTGAATATCTTAATTTCTGAAACACGCCTAACTAATAAGACTCACGTTGTTTACGAAGTCCAAAGCTCTGATAATATTTTGAGAAGTGGCTCAACAATTCAACACAACATCACGCGGCTAAACTTGGCCACAGCCACAACAGCACGTGATACGTGTCTTGGTATCTTTACAACTCAACAAGACATAAACCACTGCTGTTGGTTTAACATTTCCTGCGGAGGATGACTATTTATTTTGTTCAGGAAAGACAACAGAACGCCTCTCGGACATTGAGAATAGAATGGTCAGCATTTTCACATGTATTACAAATTACTGAAAATATTAGCCTGTTATGTATTTCTAATCCTATAAAAGTCTACGCGGTAGTGAAACGATGTAGTTGTTAACATATTGCACTATGTACCCGCTGATCCTGAGTTGAATTTTCGGCCATGGCTAACATCAGTGGTGAGTGATATCTGAACCAATTGTCGGTACCCCACACTGACCATCGTAATGAAGTATGGTCAACAACCCCAATGATTGATGCAATGGACTGACAAAAGGTTGTCGAGTCATTGTCAGTATTTTTTTTTATCACAAAGGCGCATTTGGTAAGGAAGCAACGAACTTTGTTACGCGAATCTGAGTTTCGAGCCGAGGTGAAGCTGATTATGATCCAGCCAGTCTGTTGAGCCCATCACCTCTCTGAGATCAATTAAATGAGTACCATCTGCTAGACAATCACTTTCTGGGTTGTACATGTACAGATCCAGCCAGTCTATTGAGCACATCACCTCTCTGAGATCAATTAAATGAGTACCATCTGCTAGACAATCACTTTCTGGGTTGTACATGTACAGACCATTGTGTTAATCCGCTGCGAGACGAGGACCTCCCCACGCCTTCTGGGCCGTGAGGTATGTACGATCATCCTTCACCACGCTGGTCAGTGCGGGTTGGTGGAGGCGAGGGGAGTGCAGAACAACAGTAGATTTAGCTGCGCTGCTTGTCCAGGTTCAACCTGCTTAGCTTAGATGTGGTCATAGGTGGGAGGTAAGGGTGTACCAACCCATCTGCTTTTCATAGATTTGAGGTCATATTTATACTCTTAACACATGTATCTAATCACGTGTGAGAGTTACTGTCAGTAGTAGAGCTTTTGTAGTGACTTCACATTATGCTGGCTGATACTCGACACAACTAGGTTGACCACAATATAATACATACATTTATGGAGTTAAAGATTCATCGTACCACAGGCCTAGTGAGCAATCAACAGTGGCTGTCCTCTGAACAGACTGGTACCTACCATGCAAAGGTGGAATTGTCACCACCGACTAAAGACTGCCGTTGGAGTTGAGCATCCCCCAGTCCTCGCTAGAATGCTACTGATCGCAGATGCATAACGAATGGGCCAGGTCGACCTTGGCTTGAACTCATGAATCAAACTTTGAGAACCCAACTCCTCTACCAGCTGAGCTATATCCCATTTATGGCACATACATACACACTAACATACGTAAATACATATTCGCTCACTCGCACACACATAGGGAACTATGACATAGATTCACGCATCCCCTCTTTGGCCTGTGTGGACTGTCGGGTCAAGTGGTGTTCGCACCTATTATGGCCAGCGTGACATATGAAGGGGGTGGGGGATGCCATCGAACAGCCTTTGTCTGGGCAGAGCTGATGAGGGCATCTCCACGGGTGCCCATTTCTGGAGTGGTTGACCCTGGGGTGGCCTCTGCTGGGAATTGGAGCCAGGTGGATGGGATTCGTCGTGCAGTGCAAAGCTACGTGCCCACGTATGTAAAGGCCAGTGGACACAGATGCACATAGACATTTATAAACAAAGTTACGTGTGCACATCAGACACAGCTCCCCCCGATAGCCTAAACACCCTTTTTGGGAGCAAATGCTGTTTAGGAGCACCTATTAAGGCCGGCATGGTACACAAGGGGGTGGGTGGTCAGCACCATACCTGACCGCATCTGTCTCCCCAGTGACAATGTTTACACATCGCACCAGGTACTGCTTTTGAGGCTAAGTTGCCCTAGCGGAGGCCCGAAACCGTTTCAGATAATCGTCACTGATTGTTGGCCGTGTGCAGGAATCGAACTCGGGCTGTCGGGTTCGTAGCGCTCCCCAAGACAAAGACACAGGCAAATATCCCCTTTTAGCCTGCACAGACTGATGGGCCATGTGCTGTTGGGGAGCATCTGTAAATGCTAGCAGAGCACATGGGGGTAGTGATGGGGATCAGGGCTGTGGCTGCCCGTCACCCTTGTCTCCCCAGTGCTGACCGGCAGATACTCATTTTAGGTTGTGTCAATGTGGGGGTGGGAGGCCCAGACCATGTTGTGATGCCAATCCCCACCAGTGTGAAAGGCCACAAATCAATCCTAATGAACTGGAATTACAGCGCAAGCCACCGACCATCACGTCACCGCTCAGCAAATACTCACACGCATTCCTTCACTCATATACCCAGCTGACACATTCACATTCTCGCAACATGCAGCACATGCATATATACATACAGACACACGCATGGCCCTATTACCGGTACTCATAACGATAAAAATGAAGACAAGGTCCTCCATACAGCCTGAATGGAAACAAACATGCAAACTCAAAATATAAAAAGTGTTAGGGTCGGGATCAAGCCCACCACCTCCTGTACACCAAGCGAGGTAGTTAACATCTTGCGCCACGCTTGGCCACTTTTGTGTCTAAAAGTGGCGATATTAATACACCGCACCAGGTACTAATTGTAGGCTGAGTCGATTTAGGGGAGGTCCAGGACCGGTTCAGATAATGGTTACTGGTGGTGGCCGCGAGCGGGAATCGGACTCGCTGGGTTCGTATCGCATCATGCTAACCACTACACTACCACTGCCCACTCACAGCAACGCACACAAACATGAACACACAGTGCCACACGGGACCATGAAGTAACTGTGAAACTATTTAAAGTGTCTTCAGCCTCATCAGCCACTAAATTTAGACAGCACCACACTAGGGTTGCACCCAAATGAAAATAGCAGGCGCGTAATGCGGGCCATGGACGAGGACACACAGAAAATGCCTCGTGCTCTGCTGTATTGTGCCCGATTCCATTGATTCCGAATATTATCGGTACAGAATGAATGCACACAAGTACGCAAGTGCCATTTGCACGCGCAAGAATAGACATGCCATAATTGTGTTTACAGCACATTTCCTGTATCACACACCCAGTGGCCCTTCACAAACTTGCAATGCAGTACTGTATGTACAATAAACGGACCAAAGTATGTCTCTCCACATTACATTAAATAAGCTTTAAGTTCATCAACTTGAGGGTGTTCTGGACCAGTGTTTTCCAACAGCATTTGCTAAAGCAGGCAACGTAACTACAGTCAGATATGTTCAACAAACACTGCTTGGCTGCCACATGTTATAGGCAGGAACTACCCAGTAACCATGTGGGGCCCATTCAGCGCAAAAGTAGATTTTTACAAAAACAACTCTACAGTATATGTGATGTCGCGGGGGATTATGGGTGATAATATAACAAATTGCCAAAAATATTTGGTTTGTATGTGGCCCAGAAGTAGCGCCTTCGCCAATTATTGCAGTGGTTCATGCACGGTTCGAATCTGGCAGGCTGCCCTGGTTAATACTGCAGGTGTATTAACCATAATATACACACTGACTGCTTCAGTGAATGCTCAAGAACCTGCAACACCATTCAAAGAACAAAATTTGCATATACATCCCTTTTATAAATCCACTACTGGATGAGTTCCTTTTCCACACCTTTTAGGTCATGGGGTTATTTGACCATACTTCACCATGCAGGTCAGTGCGGGTTGGTGAAGTTAGGATCATAGACACCCAAGCATATAAGTAGAGTACAATTATTGATTCTTGCTCCACTGCACTGCCCACTGCTGACAACGTTGTCAAGAGAATGTGAAGGTGTGCTGCAGGTGCCCTCAATGGGATGTCGCACCCTGCTCTGACAATAACTCTAGGGAAAGCATTGATAACCATAACTTTGATATTCACATGTTCCGATGAATTATTGTAAATGTAGATTGTATTGTTGTAAAGTTTATTTCTGGAAATGTACGAATAATTTCAATGCAAACATTTGTTAATTTGAACATTTTAATTGTTACGTGGTAAAAGGAGAACATTTCGAAGTGACGGGAATCACTTAAGATCCTTAATACCTAATGGCTTCATCATCATCAGTCATCACTGCCAGAGATGAGGGTCTGGAACAGACCAGGGCTTCTTAATGTCTCACTGGATATTTTTCCGGGTCACTGGTAGACTGAATCAGGCACGTGAATGGTAGCCATAGCCAGAGATATGGTGGACGTAGTGCGCTAGGTGTGGAAATATTTTTCGGGTCAGTGACCCAGACAGATGCAGCCTAATGTAAGCCCTGGAAATGAGCATTGTGTGTGGATCAATAATATATATCCCTACTTTGAGCGGTAGTGCAACTGTTTGCACGCTGTGCTACGAACCTGGCAACCCAAGTTCGATTCCCGCTCAAAGCCAACACCAGTGACGATAATCTGAATCGGTCCTGGGCCTCCCCTAGGTCGACTGAGCCTCAAATGAGCACCTGGTGCGATGTGTAAACGTTGCCACTTAGAAGACAAAAGCGGCTGGGTGTGTTGTTAGCTACCCACCCTCCTATGTGCTGTGCCGGCCTTCATAAGTGCTCGCTAACAGCACTTGCCCCAACAGTCTGATAAGTCATCGTGCGACCTCCCTTGCCGGTATCAAAAAATAAAAAATAGGTTTTGCCCTTTCAGGTGATAAAACAGGTGTTAAGATGTTAAAACACCAAAATGAAACCTTCTTCAAGGAATCATGTCTGCACCAACTAATCATGTCTGCATTAACTAATCATGCCTGCATCAACTAATCATGTCTGCATTAACTGCTCAGGTTATACGGGGATCTTTGTCTTGTCTTTCATTCCTCTTTTGCAATAGTTGACCCATCAGCTCTTTGCAGAACCCTGCCTGCCACAGACCCTCTTAATATCCACAGCTTTAAAGGGGTCCACAGGCTTTAAGTTGGGAACTGCTGCTGACGGCCAAGTGGCTCAGAGGTCAAAGTGCTGAGTTAGCAACACTGAGATTCTGCGTTCGAATCCAGGCCTCTGTGCAATAAGTTGACGGTATCAGCCCGGTCACCAATGACTGCAGAAAAAAAACAATTACATGTGGTTCTTGATCTAGCTTTTTGAGATATGTTTTTTTAAATATCAGTTTCACTGCCGTGCGATGAACATTACTGTCATGTGGCAGGGCAGTCGGGACAGTGTTACACCGTACTGTGTAAAAAAAAGGTAATTTTAAGAAATTTCAAAGTTGGCTCTGTGCTATTCGCTGCCTGTGGGCTGCAATCTAACATGAACGGTTGCACTCCTCTGCGTGAGATACGAATGGATACTTCATCTCGTGACATGATCGCGATAGCACAATGGGGATACAAATGGAGGTGGGGGGGGGGGGGTGAAACAAAATTTGGGAACGGCTGCGTTATGCATTGCTGAATGTTAACCCCAACCCTGTGACCCCATGATTTTCCAACTTTTACGGTTACAGCTCCTGTTTCATCCTCTAGAATGTAAACACCTCATGTTAAGGGTGTAACGATTCACACAAGACCCGGAGAAGTTCATGAACTGCCGCGATCAACGTCACGATTAGATTACTGTATTATTATTATTTATGATTACACTTTGGCGGCCTCGATTGGTGACAGGGGAGCATGTAAACTCTTTACATGCAACATATATGTATTGAAAACCATCGCTTCTTACACACACTTCTAGAGGGGCTCTCTAGAGCTACCTCTATCGGAGACCTTCCACCAGCAGTGGAGTGAGCAAGTTAATTGCAGGGCCTTGACCTCTATCCTGAGTTGATGTTAATCGATGCATGAATGTATCGTTGCACTTCGACTTTATGAAGTCTTGGAGCTATAGCAATGCACTTCCATGAACTGCCTTGTGAAAGACCCAACGCAGAAGATCCCTGGGTTTGATCTTCCATGAAGCTCATGGTCCAGCCTCAATCACATCCGCACAAACCATAGCAGAATGCGGATACCTGATGCATAAATGTCAAATTAAAAACTATCCAGTGTGCGACTGTGGTCATCCAGAATGGACCATACAACGTATAACGACGCAATGCCCACTCCACAAATATGAAGGCGACATCACAGTGATACACTCCGCTACTTCTGACGTGGTTATCTGCTGGCTTGACCACCTGAATGTGAAATTGTAGATTGTTGTTCTGCGTCTACATCAGCCGTAGGAAAGAAGAAGACTCAATGCTGGCTCAGCCTGCAAAGAAAGGACAAGTGCCAGCGTATGGGTGTGATGTATCTGACCTTGTTCACTCATTTCTCTACCCCCCGCCACTCCACCCCCCCCCCCCATGAAGAAGCCAGTGATAGTAGAATTGACACCGCACCAGAGAAAACGTGATGACGCTTGCCCAGCATTGACAGCCTTCAAAAACCAACGATCAATCAGAGAAAATATTTTGCTACGGCCCTTTGATCAAGGTCTTCCCACTCTTGTCATGTTGGTCACGAGGGGGGGGGGTGTTCGATCGTACTGGTGAGTGTGGGTTGAAAAGGGGGGGGCACTCAGGATGGGTTCAGATTTCGCTCGCCTCGGTTGGGAATCGAACTCAGGTCACCAGGTTTCGAGGGATATTCGCTAACCAATGTGTCATCGCTAAACCCAAAATAATATAATCTGTAATAGGGAACTAATATATATTTACAGTATGATTCTAACTGGGAAGACATTACACACACACATACTATATCAAACTGTGTGGTAATGTTCAATTCCCGGCCACGGCTAACATCAGTGGCGATATGAACCACTCCTGGCCTCTTTGCTTTACTAAGCCGCAATGAGGCCTTCATCCAGCAGTGGATGGATAAAGGGTTGTTTATTAATATTGTGTGTACACATGCATATCCTTTCCTACCAAGATCAAGTCACACTGACATTTTAAAGGCGTGAATGTGACCTGTCAATTTCATCTTAATTGCTTGGAATAATCCCAATCATTCAATTAGCCGCAAAGGCCACAAACAGATATGGAGGCAAAAAATTGTTGGCAGCTTTGGTGTGGAGTACAGATTAAGGGTCAAGTATATTTTAAGAAAGGCACACAGACTGCTGCTCAACACAAAGACAAAGACCCCCCGTATAGCCTTAACAGACTGTTGGGACAAGTGCTGGTAGCGAACACCTATGAAGGCCGGCCTGGCACACCAAGGGGTCGGTGGCCAGTACCATGCGCGGCCGCCTTTGTCTCCCCAGTGGCGATGTTTACACATCGAACTAGGTACTCATTTGAGGCTGAGTCGATCTAGGGGAGGCCCAGCACAGATTCAGAAAATCGTCACTGGTGTTGGCCGTGAGTGGGAATCGAACTCGGACGGCCAAATTCGTAGGGCAGTGCGCTAACCGTTGCAATACCGCTCCCCTCACATGCACAAACATACAACTTCCACACACGTGCAAATACAGTGCATACATCAACATATATATCATATAAATGTATGATACTCCTATATGTGTTTTACAATTATTTAGCTTATATTAATATATAAATAAATCACTTACACTTTACAATGGGAAATGTTGGTAAATTTTAGCTAGTGATAAACGTCCTTAGGTAATGTAAATAAAGGATTTGTCCATGAGCCATGATTATCAACCATCATGATAATCCACTGCTGGATGAAGGCCTCCCCATGTCATTGCCATCCACCGTGGTCATGCAATGCCACAATCCAACTCGCTGCCGTGCGTCAGCTGATCCCATCGCTCCATCTCCGTTTTTTTTTTGCATTCTCAGGTGCGTTACCTATCGCTGCCTCCCCATTGCCAGTCTCATCAATCGATCGTCAACCCTTTAAGCAATGTGCCCTCCCCAATACACTTGCTTTTCTTTAAATTCAATACGATGTCTCGAATTCGTGTTTGTTCACAGGTAACATGTGTTCCTGTTTGACGCGGAGAAGTATAATTCCCATCTTGCATCTCTCCACGCTTCCATGTGCATTTTTCAGTCTTTGTTACATTTCCTTTGGCAGTGTCCGTGTTTCGGACCCATATGTCATAAACGGGCAACACGTATTGATTGAAAACTTTCCTCCTTGAGTACATTGGGATGTCAACTCGCTCGTATTTATATGCAGCCTTCTTTGTTAAGTTCTGCAAATTATTTTCGACGTTAATTTCCATTCGGTTGCTATAAAAATGTTGTCGTCAGCAAATCAGATTAAAATTCCTCTATTACGTTTTTTTCCCCGAATTTTTCTCCAATTCATTTTTTCCCCAGAAAATGTCTATTAAATATATATTAATCTTGCCGTGAACACCGTTCGGAGAGAGTGTATCTCCTTATCTGACTCCTCTTTGCAATGTATTGCTTTAAACGTCTCTATAGCAAAACTAAACTATGTTTTATTTGACCAGGTAAGGCCGACTGAGTTATATTGCTCATTTTCAGAAGCGACCTGGCTACAAATGATAGCTCAACGAAGTGACTCATCACGTGTTAATGTATAGCAGCTAAATAGTCGAAACGTGTGTTTCTAAACCGGAGGACCCGGAGAAAAATCCAAGCCACCACAGGGAGGACACGCAAACTCGAAATATACAGGCTTCAGGGTCGGGAACAAACCCTGTATGGCAGGCGAGGCAGTTACCACCTCGCCAATGCATGTAATCCAGGTAAGAAATAAGTATTCACTGCCCTTCACTGTACAAAAACATGGAAAGCTTCTGCAGCATACCGAATAAACGTGGACATTATTCTCATAGAAGTGTGATCAAAATTAGAATACTATTTTTTTTAATTCTACACACAAATGTGAAATTCCTCAAGCATGGAATGATGCCTCATCTATTCTTATATTCAAAAGGAGAGACAGCATTGACTGAAATTATACACCATGTAATATATTTTTTATTCCTGGGTTATTTTTTAGTTGCTTATGCCTAAAAAGTATAGACAATGGCTATTATTCTCCACAAACGTTGCTTTTGTGATCAGGACTTCATGTGAACGAATGACACAAATGCACACCACGTTTTCTCAGTGAAAATAGGTCAATTTCAAAATATCACTGTCCTGGTCACAAAAGCTAAGTTTGTGGGGAATAATAGCCATTTTCTGTACTTTTGAAGCATAAGCAATTAGGAAATAACATTTACTACCCAGGAACAAACATTTTTTGTTACACAGTGAATTATCACAGATCCATTAGCTTAGATCACACGCATATACTGTACATCGTTGACAAAGAGCAACGAGAGTTGAATAACGAACAATTTCGACAACATTCGCACGCTGGAGTTTAAAAAAAACTTCCTTTGCCCACATACAATAAAGTGCTATCAATGAGATTATAAAAAATACAACTCAATATCAATTACCATTATTCCTGGCTATCGTAGACTATGAAAGGGAAAAATACTCATATAACGTATGCAGTCATCAAAGCTCTCATAAACCGCGGACTTTTGTATATTCCAAAAAAATACTCGTCCCTAGAATAAAAAAAACATTGATAAAGATCAACTATTGGTATGTGCAAATTCTAAATAGGGGGTTGCGATTAAATTTAGCATCCAGACAATGCACCCCAATCTGTGAGCTTAAAATTAAAGTGAAGATATCCTGCCATTAGGAGCGTGCTTAACAATCTCAACTTGACCAAATTATGAATTCAAAAAAACTATAGAAAACATAACTTGCCAAAAATAATTATCTTAAACAGAAATACTTACAATTTCCACCAACAGCCACGGGCATGTTTTATTAGCGCCTCTCCAGGAACGAGACGAAGATCCAGTTGACAGCACTTTCACACATAGGCAGTTGAAAATGTATATTATAATGGTTTTATTGTGTAGCGATTTGAAAGATATTACATCCGCAATCGAAGCTGAATCAATGTTATTTTCTCGAACTGCTCTGCGGCAATGTCTCGTGGTGAAATGAGTTAAAGTTCCTCCGCTGAGCGTCTCTGGTATGTGGCGTCTAAACGGCCCAACAACTCCGCCACCAAATTAGGGCAATTGCAACAGCTGAGCAAACTTGCTGGCCGTACGACGGCAGTGTTTAGATTTCTAGTTTTCATCTTCCCAAGGAAGAGAACAACACACGTCCAGGCCAATAGCCAGACAGCAGAGAAGACAGACAGCCGAATAGCCAGCTGGATAGACATCCGAGTCAGATGGATGGAACAACATTTTTAAAATCAGCCAACAATCCATCTGGTCAAACAGCCAGCCAGACAAACGGGCGCAATGCAGTCACATTCTAAAATAACCACCGAAGACAGTTTCCTGGGCTCCCTCTGCTATGGACATGGCAAAATGTGTTAACATTGCTGGAGGATACACTGTCTGCAATACAATAGCTTTAGAATGTTTGCAGAGTCGAGGAGTGTCACGGTGGTTTGCATGCCGCGGCGCTCTGAATTCAGCAATATCACTATGAATTCTGGGCATGGCTGACATCAGCGGTAAGTGATATCTGAACTGACCCTGGAAGCACCCCTTCATCAACTCGTCCTGACTAGAGTGGTGAAGCATGGTCAAATGATCCCCTCGTGACTCACACAGCATGTGGAGGGCCTTAATCCACCAATGGGATGACAAAGGATTCTAAATTGTTTTTGTTTCATTCATTCATGTAAAATAGACTGATCATCATTATGGCACATTGGTCATATCAACCTGCTAATCATCATTAACCAAGAGATATACTTTGCCATATTCAGGTCTCCCTAAGCCACTGTGATTCCTGCGGAGTTGTTTGGCAGTTTAGACGCCACATACCGTAGACGCTCAGCGGAGGAACTTTAACTCATTTCACCACGAGACATTGCCGCAGAGCAGTTTGAGAAAGTAACATTGATTCAGCACGATTGCTGATGTAATATCTTTTAAATCGCTACACAATAAATCCACTATAATATATAGCTTCAACTGCACAGTCACACGAATGTGAGGAATCGCAACAGCCCATACATATAGCTTCTGCGCACGAGCTGATGTCATCGCTCTGTCTCTGCAGTGAACATCTTCTTGCACATGTTGGCTCCCTTGGCTGTAACTCTCTCATTATTATCGACCATCAGCCATCTTCCCTTCGTGTAGCGTGTCCTCCCCAAGCCCACTTACTTTTCTTAATCGATGCGATATTTCGAAATTGCGAATGTTCTCGAATATATTGTAAGGTCGTATTCATTACACAACAAAGTGTTTGCCACAAATGAACCACAATATCTTGCCGATCTCGTCGAGTGGCATGAATCATCACGCAAACTTCGGTCATCCGCACAGCGGCTTTTGACTGGCCATCGAACAAAGACGGTCATCGCATCGCGCGGCGCTTTCAGATGCACTTCTGCGGCCGTCTGGAATGCTCTTCCTTCCGATATTCGGAAGCCACTGGAGCTATGCACTTTTAAAACATCGAGATTGAAAACTCATTTCTTTATGACTGCTTTTTGTGTTAAGTTTGTTGTCCTTCCCCTGCACCTCCGATTAGCACAGTTGGCTATGTACGGTACAAAATGGGTTCAACATACATCCATGGGCATTGCGAGCACCCAATTAAAACATCACCCATGACAAAATGCTGTAGTGAAACGTAAGCCTGACGGGGAGGTTTGGTTGCAGCATAAGTTGAAGATCCAGCCCAGTGAACATGAAACATTGGGCCAACGTTGGCCCAACGTTACTGGGAGGCTGCTGCCTGACCCTCTCGCCCACACTGGCTGGCGTGTGCCTTGAGACACGTTCACTGTGGAAGATGCAATACAAAACTTGACTGGCTATGATGCGTGTATGTCACGTGATACAGCACACAAACAGATGCTGTTGTGGTGTAATGGGTAGCACATTGGACTTGCAGTCTACTCATAATTCGACCTCCCGGCATGCCAGTTGAAACAATGGACACGTTTTATGAATCCCCCCTGCCTCTGTCCACCCAGAAGTACTGTACAATTGGTGACGCCACAAATAGTCGGTCAGCAGGCTCCATGTGGTGGGGTAAAGTATGGGTATTCCCACATCTTCCCAACACATCTCGTCAAAGTGAGTGGAACAAATACGCTTTTAGAGCTCCCTCTTAGTCGAGGCCCTTCCATCAGCAGTGGCTTTAGAAAGTAATTGCAGGGATGCACCTTTGCTTTTTACAGCAACAAACAGATGGCATGGGCAGTAAC